CCACTTAAGAAGATGGTTCTCTTCTGTCCATAACACCAGGGGGATGCAGGGACAATACACTCCTACAGGATGATGAACAAGTGATTATCTGATCCCTTCATCACACTCACCCCTGTCCTGGTGACTTCCCTACACTTGCTGTAGTACTGGGGAGCTGGGCTGCTCTAAGCTCCCCTCCAGGGCACAGCCCCAAACCATAGGCAGAGCATAGGCCCTTACTGCTCTGTGATCACAGGCTCAGCTCAGCTCTCAGCCGTGGAGGACACAGACTCTTTGTGTTTAGTGCTGGACATGGACTGGACACACCTGGTGACTGGAACCATTACTGAAGGTGGTTCCCAACCGGACTATGTAAATGGCAAGGGGACAGGAGAGAAGGGTTTGAGAAAAGCCTCAACACTCTAATGTAAGACCAGTCTTGACCTCCACTCAGAGAGCCAAGGCCAGGACTCCTCTCTCCTTCTCATGCTGTTCTCTCCTTGGATACTTGTTGTCACTTTTATCCAGACAGGGAAATGAGAGGGACCATTAAGAAGAAGTTAGATGGACCAATATCTGGTGTGGTGTGGGTGAAAAGGTGCCTGAAATATTGAATAGGGGACAGAAGCCCTCTGTGAGAAGCTGATACCAGCACAAAGACATGAGGAAAGAAGGGTGCATATTACCTGTAGCTCAGGGGAGGAGACTTCTAGAAAGAGAGACATCCATTGTAAACACCCTGAGGCAGGAGCAACCTGGGGAAAAGCAAGAGGACCATATAGCTGGAGCAGAGCCAGTGATCAGGACACGAGATGAAGCCAGAGAGCCAGGGGCAGCTGAGCAGGGAGGGCCCGGGCCGGCACACTTATTTCTCCTATGTTTTGAGCGAAGTTTCAAAACCTAATTGCCCATCTGTTTTAAGTAAACATGTACTATTTTTTGCTTTAATACAAGAATGCACCAGGGCAGCGCCTGTGGCTCAAGGAGTAAGGGTGGGGTCAAACACAGGCCCAGCCAAAAAGTGCGGAAAAAAAAAGAATGCACTGAACATACGTTTCACTGATCACAAGTTAAGTCATCTTTGCACTTGCATTAGGTACTGCAATTTTTAAAACATAGGGTAATGTAGGATATTGTAAAACTTTCTTGGTTTTGTCACCAGAAAAATAACCAGTGACGTGGAATTGCTTCTGGTTAAAATTAACAGTCAACAATTTTTAAGATATACGGTCTTGTCCAGGCACAGTGGTTCCTGCCTACAATCCTAGCACTCTGAGGATTGGGTCAGCTCTAGCTGGGCCAGTTGCTAGACCTCAGGAGTTTGAAACCAGCCTGAGCAAGAGTGAGACCCTGTCTTTACTAAAAATAGAAAAATTAGCCAGGTATAGTGGGAGGCACCTAAAGTCCCAAGTCCTCGGAAGGTGAAGGAAAAGGGTAACTTGTGCCCAGGAGTGTGAGTTTTCAGTGGGCTATGATGATGTGATAATGTCACCACACTCTACCCAGGGCAAAAGAGTAAAACTCTGCCTCAAAAAAAGAAAATGGCATGTTGTCTTATATACTATGACAACAGAGTGAGTGCATAGTATGAGAAAATTTTGCTTTGGGATCATGGTGTTTCCTTATGTCAAGATAGCTCAAGAGACATGTGAGTGATACATGTTTCTCTATGTCCCAGGTTCAAAACTAGCATACGTGCAACTCACATGGCAGTTACCATGTTAAATATATGAGATGAAGTTCCATGAACCCCAGGAAGCACAGGTCCTGCTCTGAGATGCGAGGACCACAGGAGAACATGTTTTTCACAGCAAAGTTTCCTTTGCACACATGAAGGTGGAGACAGACACCTATTAGTTGGCAGTGCAAGGAGGTAAGGACACAACTGGACACATTCCAGAATTCAGGGGAGAGGGCTGCAGGGCAAATGGAGACACATCCCAGCAGTTTACACCACAAGAAGAGATATAAAGAAAGGCAGAGCGTGGACAGAGATGACAAGAGCTTCAAGGAGGAAATCCTGGGCTAGGCACGGTGTCTCACACCTATAAGCCTAGCACTCTGGGAGGTTGAGGCAGAAGGATCCCTTGAGCTCAGGACTTCCAGGCCAGCCGGAGCAATAGTGACATCCCACCTCTACTGAAATTATAAAAAGCCAGATGTTGTGGTGGGGACCTCCAGTCCCAGCTACTAAGCCCAAGAGTTTGAAATTGCTATGAGCTATGATGACTCCAGGGTACTTTACCCAGGCCTACAGAGACTCTGACTCAAAAAATAAATAAATAAATAAAAATTGAAAATAAAAATTGATGAAGCCGTGCAGGGAAAATGCCAGGCAACCCCGAGACTCTGAGTGGGACTGTCAGTGGTGCACAATCTCAAGGCCAGCTTCAGGGTGGCAGGGACAGATCGTCCCATGTCACTACTGAGTAGAGATTCCAGGCCCTGCGACAGGGAGGTTGGGTTGTTAGGAAATGTCTTCCCTTTAATATTTGAAATGAAAAAACTACTCAAACTGAACACAGAATATTTTCTCTGTAGTCACTAATGTGTGTGTGATTTTCCACAGTAACCATTTCTTTGGGGGACACCCTATGGGTGTCTGAAGGAGAACTGCTGGTTAATGAGGGGTACCCCACACGCTAGTGACCAGACATGATATGTTCCATGTTGAGTGCTCATTCATGAAAGGATTGTAAAAGTAGGACTCATACACTGCCCCACTCCCTATCCCATCTCAGGAAAAGGGAAGAGGGTGACCCACAATGGAATGGGTACACTCCCACCCTCTGCCTCAAACAGGGCTACAAGTAGAGAGTAACCTGGGAGGCCAGGAATTATTTCATGTCCAGAATTACTGATAGGAGTGGTGTAATTCTCAATTCCATTTATATATTTGTAGCAAATGCTAAACTGATTAAATGACAAATAGGGAAACACTGTGTCATAACTTAGTCATCAGATACAATCATTTGAACACTGATCTGGGCTCATTTCCTTGTGTTTCCCTCCTTTATTATCTACAAACCTCTCATTATCACCTGCCCCCCTGCTATTGCTTTTCTCTTCTCCTTTGTATGTCACCCTGGGCTTCTGTTCCTCATTCTGTTGTCCTCTCTCCTCTCTGTCCCCTACTTCTCTCTATTCCTTCCTTGACTTGTTCTGCTCCATTCTGGAAATGAATATCACTTTTCCACCTCTTTGTCCCTAATATTTTGACTGTCCCAATCTCACCTGTCTGTCCCCATCCTTCTTCCCCATCTCGGCTCCCCTCTATTATATTTTCTTTCTTGTCACACCCCATCTCTTCTCTCTCCCATTCAGCTTTGGTTCTTTCTCCTTGTCCTTGTCACCAGCAGGCTGTTCTGTCTGCCCTGACTCCCAATCATCCCTACTCTCCCAGGACTCTCTGTATGAGACACCTCTCCATTGGTTGCCAGTTGCCCCATGTTGCTTTCCTTCATCTGTCAGGGGAGTGAGGTTTTCTAGAAATTACTTTAGCGACTCTCTACCCCTTGCTGGTGCTTAGCTCTCTGACAAGCTGGTTAGAAGAATTCCAAAAGCAGAGCAAGCATAGGCCACTCCAATTGGAACATAAGGCACTCCATCTTGGCTGTTCAGTGACCTCTCTTGAAACCACCAACTTGTTAAGGTACCCAGCTAAAAGGAAGGGGCGGAACTGGGGTTCTCAGTGGTTCTGAGGCAGGGCGTAAGTCTTAAAAGAACCAAATGGTCAGCTTGGTGCCTGTGGCTCAAGTGGCTAAGGTGCCAGCCACATACACCTAAGGTGGTGGGTTCGAATCTAGCCTGGCCGCCAAACAATGATGGCTGCAACTAAAAAACAGCTGGGCATTGTGGTGGGCGCCTGTGGTTCCAGCTACTTGGGAAGCTGAGGCACGAGACTTGCTTGAGCCCAGGAGTTAGAGCTTGCTGTGAGCTGTGATGCCATAGCCCTCTACCCAGGGGGACAGCTTGAGGCTCTGTCTCAAATAAAAAAAAAACAAAAACCTGTTTCATGTGGTGCCTGTGGCTCGATGGGGTACAACGCCAGCCCCACATGCTGAAGTTGGTGGGTTCAAACCCAGCCCTGGCCAAAACTGCAATAAATAAATAAATAAATAAATAACAGAGTGGTTTCAGGAGGAAGCCAGCTGGAACCTTAAGGCAACAGTTACTAATACTCCAAAGTAACACTCTTCCCCCTCCTACTCTACCTAAAACTTTTCAAAGGTGAGCACTCTTGCCCTTCAAGGCTGAGGCCTATTGAATCTCAGCCGGCCTTCACTCAGGTGCCAAATAAACTTTAGCTACTGGTCTAAATTCGGGTTTGGGACTTGATTGGCTGGACTGCTACCTTACACCTTTGGCTTTCACACTCACACTCTCCTTGCAAATCCCTCCCACATTCCCTGCTGGGCAGTGTTCACGGGGCTCCCTCACTCTTCCTCTGTAAGTTTTCCCATCTCTACTCTCCTGCTCTTCGTGTCCCATACTCCACACAGTCATAAGTAAGGAATAAAAATGACATGCTCACTGAAGAGCGCACAAATATTAGGGACAAAGGACATTTAGTGTCACATTACAAACACTGGTTATCTCTCCCCAGACTTTACTTTGAGGAAGTGGTGACTGAGGGCTGTCCTGGGCAGCTGAACCCGCCAAGGACAATGGGGAGGTGGGGATGAGGGGACGGATTCGGGCAGAGCTGGGGGTCCGCAGACCCCAGCACCGGGGACAGGACGAGGATCCTCCAAGACCCGGGATGCGGCGCTGCACTCCACTCAGGCGCGGCCTCGGGAGCCAGGAAGGACGTGAACACCCCCGTGGGTGAGCACTTTAGGGGCCGTTGAGGGAGTACAGTGTCCCTCAGGGGTTCTATGGAGGGCGCGGTGCGAAAGGCGGTGTCTCCCGGGCCCTGTGAGTGGGGACCCGGGACAGGACCTGCGTCAGGGCGAC